TGAGCCTGAAATACTGATGAAAGAACAAATGAGTAAAGTGGTGAGTGTCAGTAGGGAGTCACGGATGAAATGTTGAAAATTAGGGGAAAATGAGAGGCAGAAACTATATCTGCTATCTCAATTGAGCCCACCTGGTGGAAGCAAATATCCCACTGATGTATAATTTAGTGGGAGAAAAACAGCAACTAGCACCTGCATCCAAACAGAACAACACATCTTAGTTTTGTTTGTCTGCAAATACATTTAAAATGTTTGAATGGTGGCTGCTGCAGCAAATGAAGATAGTGACTATTATAAATCAACATTTCAATCATGCCAGCAAAATGTAAACTGTAGGCTTTTATGATATTGTTGTTAAACTACAATGCCTGTGTTCCTAACTACTGTATGTCCCTAAAAGCCTCGATAATCTTGAACATATTTATTGTACTCTGACTGTAAAGTGCATGCAGAATATCATAATTCATATAAACAAAGAGAACAAGGAGAGTTGTAAAGGTAAAGTCAACACAGCAGATGAAATTCAAAATCACATGCAAATACAACCAACAAAAACATTGCTTTTCATTCAGGAACCTCTTTAATCACAAAGCATCTGTCATCCAAATCTAAATATACAACTGCTTTCTGAGCTACATAGATTTTGGCAATATGACAAAATATGCTGCAAGATGAGGGAAACACAGTATATCTGTTAGAGATCGTTCACATCCACTATTGTTTGAATCAATAAGGAGGACTGCATTATGTGAATATGAAGTCTGGAGGATTTTGCATCAGTGTGATGGAGTACCATAGACTTTAGGGGACACAAAACAGATATTTTCATATCATTTATCTACATATTAACATTATAAACTTCTAAAAGATGTGATGCATTGTTTCCCAACAACATTTTTTTGCCACCTAAATAACCTGATTTTGCTAATAAAAACATTTTAACAATGTTTTATCTTCCTTTTGCCTTAACTGATTTTGTTCCACTTTTAATGTTTATTGTTTTAAGAAAAAGCTTTATTTTATTGTCATTGTAACACGTAAAATGAAATTTTGTTTGGAGCCGAGGGCCGCTGCGTGCATACGCGCTACCATCACAGGCAACTTGGGGGTTCAGTGTCTTGCCCAAGGACACTTCGACTGCAGGCACTGAGATTCAAACCTTCAACCTTCAGGTTGGGAGATGACTGCTCTACCCACCGCACCACTGCCACACTGCTGGTTAATGCTTTTCTTTGCCTGTGTAAAGCACTTTGTGATGACTTGAATCAACTTTTATATCTAATACTGTTAATCCCACTTTCCTTTCAGGTTGTTTCCAAAGGTCTCGATGACAATTAGGCTGCCACTCAAAACTGCAGTGTTTTTGTGTTATCAGCCAACAAAAGGTGATTACAGATCAAAACTGAACCTCAGGTTATTTTTAACTTTAGTTTGAGGCAAAAGTTATGACTAATAAGATTCTATAGAGGATTCAAAAGGACTTGGATTTGATAAAATGCCTTTAAGCCACAATACTATTCGTCATATTGTCAGAGGCCATCGATATATAATTTCAAAGATCAACCTTGTAATTGTAATAACGTTGTGTTATTGTTCCCATGCTTTTAGTTTTGGACATTATATTCATCCTCAAGCTGCTACCGTATTTGAGTGTTGAAAATGTCTCAACCTTTATTTGTTTTATCATAAGGCCTGCAACAAAGGTTACCATACCCATTTGGGCTCTATACCTAATATAAATTTCAGTTGAAGGCTCATCTGGGGCATGTGGAGGGGTTTTTCTATCGTTCATGGCAGAAAATTAGGATGTTTCAGTGTGTAAGAGATTGAGAAATGTGTCCAGAGCACCTTTGTGAATAAGGTTTAATTCTGGGCAGTTCTCCAAAATACAGAGATATTTGTTATTGGCTGCATATTTATAATGAGCACACTCAACCCGTGCCAACTGCAGTACATTCAATATGTGCTGAGAAGTTACACTCGGCATAACGTCAATAGGAGTCATTTGGAGCTCTCTGAAGCCTCTGCTTCTCTCTAAGCAGTAATTCACTTTCACTATGAACAAGAATCTGTCTTATTGATGTTCCACCCGATTGTTATGGGCAGTGCATGGGTGCTTAGGCTGGAACCCCAAACCTTTTGTTGCCTTTGTATAATGTATTTATAACTACCATAAACCTCATTAATATCTGTTTTGTTTCATAGAATGCACTTTGGAGAAAAAGACAGTAATATTCGCTGATCTTTGCAGGGGTTAGATTTCATTTACACTGGAACGTAAACATGAAGCCTGCTGTAGTCACTGTACTTCTACAACTTCCATCCATCCATTTTCTATATTGTTTAGTCTCAATCCCAGCCAGCCGTGGGTGAGAGGCGGGGTACACCCTGGACAGGTCGCCAGTCCATCGCAGGGCTAACACGCAGACGAACAATCTTCTACAACTTCTAACCATGAAATAATTGATTTTTGGGGTCATCTTAGGGGCAGTGGAATAGAAACTGAACATTTGTATTACCGAACATTATGTACTTGTTGATATGGTGGCACTACTAACAAACAGCTGCCTGTTTACACATTTGGCAGATAGTGAGCAAAATTAGAAGTTTTTTTAACCTAGCAAATGTATTAACTTTACTTTTAACTCTGTTTTGCTCTCCACCAATCCCCAAGGAAAATAGCAGTCTATGTAGCCACTAAATATGCGTATATGTTCACGTTGGCTTCCTTTGTTTTGTCTGCCTGATGTTTGGTGCTGGGCATGTAGTGTGTATACTGTCAATTGTTAGTGCTTTTGGTCCAAACAGCTGCCTGCTGTGGCCAAAAGCAATGCTGATGAGAAATGTGAAACTGGGACTGGAAAACCTAAACAACAAGCAGAAAGAAAATGTAAACTTTTCTAAGGCTCAGGGCAACTGCAGAATTATTTATAGCTGTTTTGAATCATTTCTGCATATACAGTACAACTTCAGCTCAACAGCAGTATACAGTGCGTATACCTGATCAACAGTCCCCCTAAGCCTTATTCTCCTTACAGAGAGTGAGACCCATATGCTTCTCTTCTAGCTAATTATATACTAGTTAATTAAGGCGTATACCACTACATCTTAATGCTGGCTTTATATGGACATATCATGGCTTAAGTGACAAAAACAAAGGTCAGATTCATTACTCATCATATATTATAGCAGTAACTTCATGATGAATCTATGTTTGCAACTCTCTAAAACACTAAGAACTCTAAAACACTGCTTAACTAATACATTGTAGTTTCTCAAACAATGTCTACAGCAAAGTATGAAAATTATCATTACTAACACAATTTGGGTTTGGTATGGCTTGTGTTTGTGCAGTTTGCTTGTACAAAGTGCATTTGACACAGTGGAAAATATTCTTGACAACATATGTGATGATATGTGATGTAAGATGGACCAAATCCACCAACTTACTGAGGAAATCAAGTCATGTTCTTACTGCTGTGTGCAGGGAGGCAAGCAAGCCAGCAGGCATTATACACTTGTAAAAAGAAAAGGAGAAAACACAAAGGTTTAGCCTCTGTTGGGATGGATAGCCTGAAGGAACAGTCCAAAGTGAACTCTATCTTGGACAACACCTTCAAAGATGATGTAGAGCACTTGTAGCCTCTGGCTCACCCCCTTGAGGTGTACCAGGGAGTGCTTAAAACTCTCATTCGTGCCACTGGGGTGTGCAGTACTTCTTGCTATGGCATCCTTGATACAATGAAAAAGTGCTGACAGCTGTTTCTCAGGACCAGGACTGCTTTCTCTTTTTTTCGTTTAGTAGGCTACCCCTGCCTCTCTAGGGCAATTTAAATCTGAGAACACACTGAACACTCGTAACATTTCTGTGCATGTCTCTCTGAATGCACACATACAGAATCCATTATGTAGCCTACACATTTGTATATATTTGTCTGTCAGTGGGTCGCTGTCTTTCTTTGTATGCGTTATTATTAAGAGCTGTACTCTGGTCTTCCTCATTCACTGATCATTCACTGTGGATGGCTCCAGACCACAGATGTCATCTTTCAGGATTTTTACTCTATAATAGATTTATAGAATAAAACAGAATAGAAAAAGAGATTCAAGAACACAACGAGTATCCAACAAGTAAATGACTCAATCTGTGCCCCCATATACTTCACTATATTACACTTTTGGAACTACCACAGTGCAATAGTTTTATTTTGGGATACTTTTGCCTACTTCAGCGATACCCAGTTGGTGCATGAGTTAGTGTTGGGGGCATCCATCCATCTATCTATCTATGCATCCATTAATCCATCCATCTCCTGTGAGTATGATAGCTAGCTAGCTAGCTAGCTAGCTATCATGATTACCTAAAGCCCAAATTCACTTAAGTTTAATTTCAATCAAGGACAAATCAGTACTTACATGACAATTTTTAACTTATTTTGATGATAGAACTACAGTTATCATCTCACAGCACATCCATTTAGCTGCAGAAAATTTTAGTCAAAGATGCCTTTTGTAATGAATTCCTTTGCTTTGTACCAGAGCTGAATAAATAAATGTCATCATCATGATAAAATGCAAAAATATGGTATGTTTTTGTTCTCGACCACCCGCCACAGTAAGAGTTCTATTATCATGTCAGGCACAGCTTCTCCTGGGGGGTTTCAGACAGCTTTACATGCATCCCTCTGGCACTCCTCTCTCTCTCTGTCCCTCCATCTCTCCTGTGCTTTCAGTGCAGAGGCAATTGGTGATGATGGGTTTCTCAGATGGAATTAAAATGTCTCGTCCCACAGCTGTCACCCATGCAAATTGTATTGTCTACAGATTCTATCACTGAGAACAGCAAGCAGTCGGTTTTGTCTGATGCCATTCTTCTTTTTAGTTTTGTCATGATGTCATTATCTGTGGGGCTGCTGCTTCTCTTGTTAATGTTTCAGACAGTCATTTTTAAAATCTCTTTCTCTTTTCTTTTTATTGTTGTTGTTGTTTGTTTGCTGCAGGTTTACCGCCAGTCCTACATGGCCTCCTACAGCATCTACAACATTCATACGCGGTAAGTGTTTCTGTCTTCCTCAGTAGTTGCAGTGAGGCAACCTGTATGCTAAAAACACTCATCATTAGTGAAAAATAACTGTGAGCCACCCTGGTTTGTAAATTTGTACAACACAGATGGTATCATTAAAATGGCAGTGTCCCATTGAAACAGGGTTCTTGGCACATCTCCAATCATTATGTCCCTGATTAATGAAACTGTTTTGGTAAAAACTGGACTGGGGCACTGATTAATTTACAGAGCTTAAGCAGTACATGCAGCTCAACATATCAACACCACTGTTTCTTTATCAGTGTTCTGCATGTTTGAAAGAATCAATCAATCAATCAATCAATCAATCAGTCAAAATCAACATAAGGCAAACTGTATATAGTCAGCACAGAATAGGTGCACAGCTGTCATTGGATAATTGGCTGAGCAGGAATTCAAATCTATATGATAATGGATCCAAGGGTTGGGGTTGCCATGCAGGGGTGGGCAATTCCAGTCCTCGAGGGCCGCTGTCCTGCTTGTTTTCCAACTATCCCTGCCTGACCTGCTGCTGATTACCTGGCTCAGGTGTGTTCAGTCAGTCAGAAGCTGGAAGACCCCATCTTAGATGAAAGTGGAGTGAGGGAAGATAAAGTGAATTGGTATCTTCCAGCTTCAAGACAACAAGAAAACAAGCAGGACAGCGGCCCTTGAGGACTGGAATTGCCCACCCCCAGGTGCCACACCCTATGCACTGTAAAAGTTACAAAGATCACATAAAAAGTAAAAGTATGGCATCATTAAGGGTACTCTAGTAGAGGACATATGAGAAATTCAGCTTTTCAAAAGGCTCAACTGAATTATGAGGATGAATGTATGCCAGTATGCCACTTTCTGAAGCAGTGAATTGATTATGTCACCACCTCGAGGAGACCATGAGGTTTTTTTTCTGTTCCATAGAATTTGAATGATGCTGCAGAGCCAAGGCTAGTCAGTGCAGACTCTCAAGCAATAGTATACAATAGTATTATTCATGTTTTGTGAGTGCATTGAAGTTTAAATCATTCCAAAGAGACATTTTACAATGTAAACATGTAGTAATATACTGTCCTGTGGAATTTAAAAAATACTGTTTAATAAACTATTACTCTGACTGCCAATATTTTCTTTATATTAATTGTATGAAAAAGGCCCGTCATGATAAATCTGTATATTACAGTATACACATGCTGTATGTGATATCATGAAATCTTGTTTTGTCTGACTCACTGTCCATAACCTCCAAATATTTGATTTATTGCATTTTTGCTTGACTAAAGGTCTTCAATGATTAAGCCCTGTTGCTGGATATTAGTGATGACATTCCCTGTTGTCTTTTTTCAGAGAGGTTTGGGAGCTGGACCCTCCGGAAGTGGTGAACTCGGTCCTGCAGTATGCTGCCTGGGGAGTGCAAGGCCAACAGCTGGTAAAGACACAGTGAAAACATTTCACTCCCTCTGTCTGCCTTTCAGCACTGCCTGCAATAGCTTGATTTCTTTTCAGGGTTTTAAGAACATGAACTTACGTAAGAGTGACTACAATAAAAAACACATTTTTATTCATACATAACTGCAGTTATTAACCCAGTAATGTCAACACAGTGAATGTAAACACACATGGGATTGGATCCCTTTTGTTATGTGCTGTATTTACATGTGTTAATTCTCAAAGTCATTAAGTTTTTACTGTATAGTTTTTAAGTCTAACAGAACGCAATTCAGAATGTCTGCAGAAAAATAAAATGCTGTATTTTGAAGGTTCTGTGATTGTAGAGCCAACAAAATGAGAGTTTTATCTTCAGCTCCAGACCTAAGGATCACCTTAATGCATATGAACAGATATACAAAGGGTCATGGCAGTTTTCAGTATGCTTGGGGTAGCGTTTGTGTCTTTGTGCCTCTGCTGCTTTTGAACCGTGAAGATGCATAAAAGTTTGTTCTGTTGTGTGTTGTGTTTGGTTTTAATGCCAGGTGTCCCTAATTCACAATGTCCTGCTCTACTCATTATGTACTCAGGTTCAGTTTTTGGACCCAAATTAGATGTTAATTATTTCCCACCATATCTATTTTTTTTCTTTGTTATCTACACTGGACAGATCTGAAAGCTTTTTGTTGACACCTAAAAGGTTAAAGCATAGTGTAGCTCCTTTGTCCATATTTGCAAATTTCACCATGAAATATTTGAGCATAAATCAAACACGACTCCATTAGGAAGTCATTACGGTGACAAGCAAGTGAGAGCTAGACAAATGTGAAGGCCTTCTAGTCCTCAAGTGGCATGCACAGCATCATTAGCCAGAAGTGCATCTTTGGAAACAATGATATGTGTTTTGTGAACGAGGCTGTAAGTTAGCATCACAGCACTTCTTTAGGAATTTATGTATTGTCATTAGGACAATACAAAAAAAAAGGTTACATTTAGAATGTGAATTGTGGGAGCCCGTTCATCATTGTAGTCTTAGGAGAAGCATTAAATGTACATAGTGAAAATAAATGAAGGGATAGTGAATGTTCCTGTTTGCAAAGTTGTCTAATTAAACATTAGAACATTAACATTAAAATCATGACTGTGTGTGCTTTGTCTCTACAGATCTACATATTTGAAAATAACATCTACTACCAATCTGATGTCAAGAGTAATTCCCTTAGACTAACATCCTCAGGGAAGGAAGGGGTCATCTTCAATGGAATTGCTGACTGGCTCTATGAAGGTACATATCAGCTTATTCTTATACTTTCTCCTTCAGTGTAAGAACAAAACAAGCCAAAGCATGTAGTTTCGACTTTTCCCTGGTAGCTATATTTAAAGAAACCATGCAAGAGAATCTCTGTGACATACAGGGGCTTCATGTCAGACCATGACTTGTTGAGAAACTGCTTTGTCACAGTGGATTTTAAACATTGCTGTGGTACAAATAATGATAATGTCTAAACAAATTTTTAAAGCATTGACAAATTGTCTCATTACATGTCTGGGTTTAGAAACATTACCTTATAAAAGAGACTGATTAAATATTCATAATGTTTGTTCTAGTGCAGATATCTCCCTCCTGGGCGTGAGGATTAATTTGATGTGCTTTAAGTAAACACACATGGGATACACACAACCACTTTGGATCATCTCTCAGAGGAAAATTATTTTTTTCATATCTACTTTAAATCTAAAAAGGCAAGTCAGCACATTAACTGTGCTGCAATTTTGCATTTGTCCTCGTTTTACTTATTTAAATATAATAACTTGGCAATCAGTGATGCTTAACCTAAATGCCAGTTTCCCTGCGCCTTCGGGTCAGCGATAGGCCTCACACTGCCGTTTGTGCCTATGGGCCGAATGGCAGTGTAGAGTACCCGGCCTTCTTGGAGTCCCTGGGAAGGATGCTGGAAAATGCCCCGACTGGGGACTCTGTTGTTCTACTGGGGGACTTCAACGCTCACGTGGGCAGCAACAGTGATACCTGGAGGGGGGTGATTGGGAGGAACGCCCCCCCACCCCGCCCGAAACCTGGGTGGGTTTTGTT